AACACATGTGTTTGTTTGTTTTTTTTCTATGTTCCTCCACCCTGAATTTCTTGAGAGATTCTTTCCGTACATCAGTCACTCGTACTTCAAAACCTGAGGGTAGGAATTTAGGTATGTACCGGTACAGATCTGCAGGGACTGCTATGATTTTGGTCATCATACAGTGGGGTTCGTCGGCAAATCTGTTTGTTGACAGGCTCCATATCCGTTTGGCCAGGACATGCGCACTCGGTCTTCCCAAGAATGGGGTGCAGGCTGGATTTGACATGCACCACCCAACATCCGGTGTCACTGCCACTGTAGTTGTTTGCTTTTAATTTAGGAGACTGTCTTGCGGGGGGCCAGGTCACGTGAACCTGCAGCGAAGCATCCTCCGATATACATTCTCCCCCTTCTTCATCGGGCTCATGGGCAGCAAGGGCTCGTGTGCAACACACACTTAGTAGCAAGGTGGTGTTCCTGGGCTTGGCTTATACCAATACTGCTCCATTCATTCAAGATACATCAAGATACATGGACTGTCATGTGGCATGTGGCCCTTGGATTCAGCGTTGATTTAGGATGTAAAGAGAGATAGCTTTTCACCAGAATTCTTGGCAGGTATCCGTAGTAAGCATTCTTCATTGATGAAGCCCAATACAAACCACGCTTTGGGAACAAACCACGCTTTGGGAATAGAGCCAAAATTCAAGAGTTTTGAGGGGGTATCAAATTGCAGAAAGAAACCACCCATCGCTCATTCTTTCACTCTGTGTTGCTTCAAAAGGACGAGTATCATGCGCAAAGACTGTCCGATGGTATTTCAGGATCCTGGCGCAAAAGGCCGTGCTGATTTAGAACATGGGCTTAGAACATGAGACAACCTCACCAGGGCAGAAAAATTGCCAGTCGAAACTACGAGAAACAAACGAACCGGAGGAGTGGGATAGTGCATACCTTGCTTCCAAGAGAAGCCAACAGCGTTTCGCACCAAGTCAAGAGCTCCCATTTCACCGAACACATAAGCTTGAATTGCACATCTTGGACATGTCATAACTGAGAAGATTATATGTTTCTGTGAAAATGCACTGGACGCCCACGCTCGACTCAAGGCAAGCACTTAGGAGCCAGAGACTCGATGGGGGCTTTGTGTCCACCGGAAAAAGAGTCTTGTTCTTGCTTGTTGGGTCTGTTGCGGTTCCCCCAATTTCATAGTGGTAGCGGAGCCCGGTTCCGACCGGGCTGGTTTGGGTTCGACTCTTTTTCTTGGTGGTCCCCAGCCCCCATCCCGTCTAGGTTTTTGAATGGCCGATAGACAGGCCATTCCACCTTCGGATGGCGACTTGGATGAACCGCCAGGCGGCGGCTCGCCAGCTGCTGGCTCCACGGGGGCTCAGGGCGCGCAGGACGTTTTAGGGAGTGACCGGGAAGCCTTCGCTCGGTTCCAACGCTTTCTCCAGATGGAGAGAGAAGAAGGCCGCGGTCCGACACGTCATAGGCGCCGCCGTGAGCGAGAAGAAGAAGAAGAAGGTGATGATAGTGGAGAAGGAAGAGGGGCTTCCGGACCTCCACCATCATGGGATGGACAGACCCCATTCGAGGACTATCACATCAAGGCCCAACTATGGATCGCGACGACCAAGGACAAGGCCAAGTCGCGAGGGCCTCTCTTGTTGAAGATGTTGACAGGAGCACCCTTCGAGCTTTACAAGCACTGGGCAAAAGATCCTGTTTGGCTCGGAGATCCACGAGGTGCTGAACGTCTTCTTGAAGACATGGATAAGCCTGAACGCTTCGGAGATGACCAGCAGGAGCACATGTTGACGGCCATGTCCCGCATCACCTACCACCTCCGGAGGCAGAAGACAGAGTCCTGGAGGGAATACTTCGCCAAGTGGGACAACGCCATTCGGAAAGTTCAACAACACAAGATCGTGCTTCCACCCGAGTATGAAGGCTTCTTGATGATCAATGGGCTGCAGTTGACCGAGAGCGATACCAAGGCCCTGCTGAATTACACCCACGGTTGCATCAAGCCCAGTTCCATCAAGAGCTGGTTGAGAAAGAATGAAACAAAGTTGTCTGCCTCAGAGCTTGGGGCCGACCGGAAGAAGGCAGCCGGCGCTTTCCACACTGAGTATGACGGAGTCTATGCCACTGAGGAGGTCATTGAGGGTAATGGCACCGACCAGGAGGAGATCGAAAATATCGAGCACTACATCATGGAGCTCCAGGATGAAGGGCAATCAGAAGAGACCGCCCTGAGTGAATCGGAGGCGGCCGAGATCCTCTCTACCTACCTCCAGCAGAGGAAGACTTATACTCAGTCGATCAAGGACAAGAAAACCAAGGAACTCGCCCGAGGCTATGGAGTTGGTCGACGACCGAACTTCAGTTCGACTCGGGGAGATCGAGACCGACCTCTACGGCCAGGATCCTATTCCGTGACGATTGCCGAGCTGCAGAAGAGGACCCGCTGCCGACAATGTGGCCAGATCGGCCACTGGAAACGAGATTGCAAGAACCCTCCCATGAAACCAGGCAGCTCCTCATCGACGGGCACATCTCGAACGAACGAGACCCACTTTTTGGAAAACACACCCGAGGTGCATTTTGTGGGCAGTCTGGAGACGGAAGAGTTCATCGACAAGAACCTCTCCAGCAATGTACCAGCCAGCTCCTCGCCTTTTGAGATGACCCGGACAAGAACACCTGAACCGCGCATCCTGAGGACTTCAATCGAAGACCATGCCGATTGTACAGATGTAGCTTTTGCCTCGAACCACTGCTCGACCGCTCGGTCATATATGGAGAGTGACATGGTTTTGGATTTGGGAATGGGTGAGAACGGCCATTTGGGTGTTAGCAGTTTGTTTTTCTATGAGAACATGTTTTGCGATCTGGTATCCCAGTACTCCCAACTAACCCCCGACGACGCTACATGCGCCACCGTTGACACTGGATGCCAGAGGTTGGCAATTGGAGCAACGACCCTGAGGAAGTTCAGTGAACATCTACCACCTGGCCTGAAGATCACCATTCATCCCGAGACCAACAAGTTCAGGAGCGTCCACAAAACCTCGATTACCACCCAGGTAGCCAGTGTTCCCAGTTCACTGGGACTGAAAGGCAGTCTCCTGAAACCAGCGGTCTTCGACAGCGACGAGAGCACCAATGCACCGTTCCTCTTGTCCCTCAGCTTCCTCCTTCATTGTCATGGTGACATAGGGTTGTGTCTTGAGAAAGGTCTCCAGCTCCGACTTCGCGGGAGCCACGAACCAGTCCCCTTACATCTTGGACCGACCGGAGCCCTTCGAATTCCACTCCAACAGTTCACGGAACTCCAACTGACTGCACTTCAACGAGCCCAATCCGAGCAGCTAGGAACTTCGCTCCCGGAATTTGAGGTCCTGAAATTGAATGAACAGTGCATGAAACCGCCGGAGCCCGACAAAACTCAAGACATCCCGGCATCGATCTCATCGGTTTCTCTCGCCTGCCATGCAGAACACCGGCCAGAAGCGCAGCCGACCTACTCCACCGGAGACCTTGAATCCGGAGGACAAGGCTGTGAAAGCCTGGATCCAATTGACTCGTCGGCTACTGGTTGTGCTCATGCCACTGCAGTACCTGTTCGAACACCTCTTGGAGACCATCATGGGAGCACAGTCCCAACGCCGAGTTCTGACACGCCTGATCGAGAACATGTCCGACGAGGACCTCCACCACGTGACCAAGATGGCCAAGAACGAGATGAAACGTCGTGTCGAGTTGTCCGACAATTTCGTCATGATCAGCGACCCGGAACAACACTCGGACGGATCCCAGAAGAAGGTTCCGAAGGCGACTTTGGTGAGAACTCAACGCTGCGACCAGATCGACAGCCTACCATGCATCGAGATCCTAACCGGACCCCGACCTCGCTGCCGATGCGGCCTACAGGTGAAGATTCACCTGAGTACAGAGACCGACCACGAGGAGGAGATCTACTTCCGGTGCCCGAAATACCCGGGACAACAGTGCGAGTTCAAACAATGGGTCCCATGCCAGCCATTGAAAGATGTGACCAGCTGGAAATACCGCCAACAACCAGGCGAGAAGCCCAAGTCCTATGCAGAGGTGCTGGAGGGAATGGTTCAGGACATTTGTCCACACTCCTCAACTCATCGGAAGGGATCCAACGCCTTCCTGACCAAGGTGACCTGCCGCTACTGCAACAAGGTGATCCGGCAAGAAAAGAAGACTGTGGTCACGGAGACGGCTTCTCCCAGCAGCCCTTCAGAGGCACCACCTCGTCCGACAACTCCAACGCCCACATCACCTCAGGAAGGAATGACCGAACCGGAGGACTACCAGGACTTCATGGACTTCCTGCGCTGGCGCCGAATGAAGGGCCCTTCAAGCCAATGACCCCAAAGCTTGAAAGAAAGCTCCGGGCGGCCTTAAAGAAGGCTGTGGCTTTTTGGAAACAGATCCAATACATCCTCGCAGAAACGCAGGATGGAGATGCGAAACTGCGAGATTGGATTTGCAGCTTTAATGATGAACTTTGCAAGGAGTTTACTCTGCACCCTAACGGATCGAAAAGGACACATGAGATTGCTGAAATCATGGGACTTTCACATAAACAACTTAGAACTGTGGCTGAGATTTATAACCCCGGTTGTTTTGGAGAAATTGCACATCGCTTCAACCTCAATTCTGGACGTGCTTTTGACTTGAAGTTGGATTGTGATTTGTTGAAAGCAAACAAACGAAACGAAGTCGTGCAGTATGTGAAAGATGTTAGGCCTGGACTGGTTTGCATTGCACCACCATGTGAAATGTACTCACGGTTGCAAAACCTGTCTAAAAACAAACGAGAACGAGTTCCTGCTCTTCTTCAAAAGTATTTAAAGAGGAAGTCGGAAGGAGAACAGCTCTTGTTGTTTGCTTTGCAGTTGTGCGAATTATGCGATCACTTGGGCATCAAGTTCCTTTTGGAACATCCTCACGCTGCCTCCTCCTGGAAACACCGTGCCATGGAGCAGCTCCTTTCCAAACCGAACGTAGTGTACACGAAGGCAGACCAATGCCAATACGGACTCCGTGGAGAATCTGGCCAACCTCAAAGAAAACGGACTGGTTTCGCCACCAATAGCCCCGAGATCGCCAAGGCCCTGAACACTCTATGCCCTGGCGACCATCAACATGAAGTCATTATCGGTGGCAAAAAGTCCAAGAAAGCACAGATTTATCCGGAAGGTCTTCGGGAAGCCATCCTCGCGGCCTACTCACGCTCGATTGGAGCTGAGGTAGGTATCATCACCTCTGAACAAATGTTCCTGGAGAATGATCGCCTGAACTCACTACTGACAGTGGAACTACGGGTTGACCATGAACTACACCCAGGACATCGACCAGACGGAGATCAGGGAACTACGCTATATGCTCCACAAGTCCCTGGACATGAACTTCACCTAAGCGAAGCCGATCCAGGACGATCAGATCAAGTCGAAAGAGTTCTACCTGGCCCCCCCATGGGAACTACATGCTGAAGAACCACGAGGTGAGGATGATGAAGGAGACCATGAACCGGAAGGAGATGAACAACCAAATGCACCACTACCTCTGGAACGTCGCTTTACTATGGACCGACTTTTACATCGAGCACATGTCGGAATGGGACATCCAAGTCCGGACCGTTTTGCCCGTATACTTAGGTATGCCAAGGCAAAGCCAGAGGTTATTGAGGCAGCAAAACGACTGACATGTAGTGTCTGTCAACGACATGCCCAAGTTCGACCCGCACGACGGAGTGCGCCGCCCAAGGAACTCAGCTTCAACGAATGTGTTGGAGTAGACGTGGTCTTCTTGCCAACTTTGGGCAATCGCTCTAGACCAGCACTCAACGTGATAGATTGGTCAAGCAAATTTCAACTCATGATCCCCTTGCCCAACAAGAAACCAGGACAAGTTCGAGAAGCTTACAGACACTGGCTGAGATTGTTCGGACCTCCAAAAAGAATGGCTCTGGATCTGGGACGTGAGTTCCGCGGTACCTTCGCCGAACAAGTTGAACAAGATGGAACCTATATAGATCCAGCGGCTGTGGAGGCACCACATCAAAGAGGCATCACTGAAAGACATGGAAAAACTTTCAAATACATTCTCCAGAAAACCATGGACACCTACAGCTGCGGGAACATGCAGGAATGGGAAGAAATGGTCGACCTCACCACCATGACAAAGAACCGTATGATGAACGTGGGAGGATTCAGTCCATGTCAACGTGTTCTGGGATTCAACCCATTCCTACCAGGAGGGCTACTAAATGGAGATGATGGACATCGAACTCGCGAAGATGCTCCAGCATTGAAAGTCGGCGACCTTAGTGTCGAAAGATCCATGAAGCTTCGGAAGGCTGCAGCTCAGGCTTTCATCGAAGCCGACGCCGACAACGCCCTGCGGAGAGCTATTTCATCAGGACCAAGACCGATCCTCGATTACGACATCGGCGAGCTCGTCTACTTCTATCGAATGGGAGCGGACAAAAAGCTCAAGTTCAAACCTGGATACTGGCAGGGACCAGCTCGCATCATCATGATCGACCAGCCCAGCACTATCTGGTTAGCGTACCAATCAAATCTAGTCAAGGCAAGTCCGGAACGCATTCGGAGGGCATCATCCGAGGAGAACATGGCTCTCTCCGGTTGGCTTGACGACATTGTCAGTATCAAAAAGGACCTCCACACGGAACCTGTTCGAGGCTTCCTTGACCTCTCTGACCAACCTCTACCTCCTGAACTGGCTGATGGAGATCTAGAAGATATGGACTATGAGCCATCCGAACCTCCCGAAGATGAACCGATTGCACCTCCAACGGCTCCAGGACTAGACGGACTTCAAGAGCCTCTTGGTTACCCACCTCCAGCAAAGAGGTATCGAACAAGGGCACCACAGGAAAACCTTCCTCAACCTCCTGCAGCAGAAGATCCGCGAGAACAAGATCATGACGAACTTCCTGCTGAAGAAGGATCAGGAGAACAACCAGAAGAACACCCCACCATAGACGAGAACAACAAAAGAGAATTTGATGAAGGAGAATCACACGACCAACCGCCTTTGAAACGGCTGAGGCACGAATACCTGGAGATCTACCTGAACAAAGTGGACAGCCTGATGAAAACAAGACAGAAAAAAGGAAATCCGCTTCCAGGAACTCAGCGTCAAGAATCAAAGATGCTTCAAGGCGGCAATCAGCAAGGAATTCAACAACAACATCAACATCGGGGCATACTCCATTGTCTCCCCAGAAGAGTCAGCAAAGGTTCGACAAACTATGCCACACCGAATCATGGAAAGCCGATTGGTCCTCACTCCAAAACCACTGGAACCTCACGAAGTCGAACCAGCCAAACAGGAAGGGATCCTTCTCGACTGGGATTCTGAAGAGCCATGCAAGGCTAAGGCCCGACACGTGATGAAAGGGTTCAGTGAGGAAGGCTCCGAGGACATCGAGGCAACAACGCCTCAGGTTACCAGAGAAGGGACTCTCATGGTCGCCCAACTGGTTGCAAGCCATCGTTGGAAGCTCGGCTTCTTGGACTTCACCCAGGCATTCCACAGTGGAGACGCAATTGAGCGACTTCTTTATGCCACTCCACCTCGTGAAGGTATCCCTGGTGTCGCACCGTGCCAACTCCTCAAACTCGAGAAGGTTTGCTACGGGCTTACTGACGGCCCACTGGCATGGTACAATCATCTCAAGAAGTTCCTGACCAGCCAACTGCACTACCAGCAGTCGTTAGCAGATCCATGCATCTATTACAAGCATCGGGACTGTCCAAACACTGGTAAACCGATCCTCAGCGGCGTCATTGCAGTCGCTACGGATGACCTTCTACATGGAGGTGACGACGAACATCAAAAAGCTATGGAACAGATCAAAGTGAAATATAAGCTTGGAAAATTCCAGTATGGATCAGGAAAGTTCACTGGAAAAATGTTCACTCAGCAAGAGGACTCGAGCATCATCGTGAACCAGGAGAACTACGTCCAGGAGAAGCTCTTCGAAATCAACCTGGAAAAACAACGAAAGAAAAAGAGATACACCTTTTGTGACGACAAGGAGATCAACCAACTACGAGCCAGCATCGGCGCTCTTGCCTGGCTTGCCAAGGAAAGTAGGCCCGATTTGGCCGGAAGAGTAGCTCTGCTTCAGCAGGTCTTTCCCAAGCCTCGTATCAAGGACATCATCGAGGCAAACTCCATCACTCAGGAGGCTCGAAGACACCCTTCAAGCGGCATCAAGATCATGCCGATCCAACCAGAGAACCTGCGAATCGGAGTTGCAACGGACGCATCATGGTCCAACGCCAAAAGCCAGGATCAGTTGGAAGTTAGCTCACAAGACTACTGGGAAGAGAAATCCTCACACTGGATTCGACATCATGTCACTCCCAGAAGAGTCCTATTCCATCCAGGAGCCGATCCAGGACCAGATCTTCACGATCTACAACCAGGTCGCAGAACGATGACTACAAACGAAGAAGTTCTAGAAGATGACTGGACAAAAGGAAATAGTGTCCGAACTTGGACGGACTCACCTTGGACCGGCAAGACCATCTTCACAAAACAGCTTCCTGGACACGAGTTGGAACATGGAAAGATCAATGACACCTTCCTCAAGCTCCTCAATTGCAGCAGCCAAGGAGGCTATGTGATGATCTTTTATGACAAGAGAATGGAAACCGAAGATCGACCTCACATGGTTTCTGTGACCTCATGGAAATCAACAAAGCTCAAAAGGAAGACTGTCAACACCCTGAGCGCAGAATGCCAGTCGCTGGTACATGGCATTGGCCATATCCACTGGCACCGCTACCTCCTCCTCGAACTGATGGGCACGACCATGGAGACCAAGGACTGGGAGCGGCATTTGGCATCCATCCCCTATGTCTCCGTAGTTGACTCTCGGTCGCTATACGACTGCATCAACAAGCTGGTGTGTACCTACTCTCAAGTAGAGGACAAGAGAACGGCTATAGACATAGCCATACTCAAGGATGATCTCTATAGATCAGGGGGGTTCCCTACGTTGGGTTGCTGGTGATAACATGATCGCGGATCCCCTTACTAAGAAAATGAACTCGGATTTTCTCAGGTGTGTTTGCAACAGTGGTTACTGGTCACTCTCCGAAACAGGCCATAGAACACAATGCACCACGCATGACGTTCTCTTGGTCTCGCTTGGCCGTTAGAGTAGGGCCGGTGTGAAAATGCACTGGACGCCCACGCTCGACTCAAGGCAAGCACTTAGGAGCCAGAGACTCGATGGGGGCTTTGTGTCCACCGGAAAAAGAGTCTTGTTCTTGCTTGTTGGGTCTGTTGCGGTTCCCCCAATTTCATAGTTTCTAATACCGCTTTATTTTGGTACGGGCAGATCCACTATCAGCCCTCAAACGGGCCGGACAGCTGTCCGGTGAGGAGATCGATGTACCTGCGGACGGGGCTTGATGCGGGGGTGCTCAAATGAGAGAGTATCAAACCACCCCTTACAATATTCGCATGTCCGTTATTCTGGAAGCATGCCCAATTCCCTGTAAAACGATAAGGAAGAAAAGAAACGATAACCCCCGGTGACTCTTGTGGAAAACCCTTGACATACGAGAAGTGGTGTGAAGAGAACGCGTGCACACACACAAACAGAAAGCCTACTACTGTTGCTCTTGGTGGGTATGTGCTTGGACAGAGGTGGGAGGGCTTGGACCGCTCTAGCCTTGTGCTACAGCACTGTTGTGCCACGTGGTTTTCCACCTTGCGCCAGGCATGAAAACGATAACAAAAAACAATTTCACAGCAAGCCTAAAACACCTTTCCGTAGGCAGGCCACCACATGGGAGTCGTTGGAATGAAGTGTGCCTAATGTCTTCATGCCTGCAAGGTTCCACACACCACATGCATGTAGTGGCACACACTACATTATACTATATACATGTGTTGCAGTTAGTCAACGTGCTGTAAAGCGATAAGGAAGTAAAAACGATAAGGTCAAGAGTGGTATAGGGAAAGGTAGAGGGGTTTTTACACAACCTCAAATGGCGTTCGAGGTCGGCCTGGAATGACGATGTTTGGAATGTTTTTGGTGTTGCTTAATCTTTCCGAAAACGGATGATGGAAGTGAGCCCCTTAAAGAAGTAGTGTCTTCCAACTTTCCCAAGAATTGGAGAAAGTAGCTGCATTTCTGTCCGGATGGAAGTGGTGGGCCGGTTTTGGGTCTTTCCACGACCGGGGCCCGTCATCCGGTGAGCGTTGGCCTCCAGTGTGTCACAGAGGTCATTTAGATGGCTTGCCACCACCACTAGACCCTAAACCGAACATGGAGGAGCAGGAAGAGCAGCTGTTTTGATACCGTGTCACTGCCTAAATGAATGTATATGTCGAGTGGCTTGCAGGGCTTGGTATATCATGTTTGTGGGTGAAGATGTGGGGCTGGAGTTTGCCAAGGCGCATGCCTTTGCCCGAGTCGCAGCAGAAGCAGGGCTATCCAGACTTGGTGCGATTTGCGCGCCAGTTTGTAGTAGAAAATGGCTTTGTCGGTTTGTTACAAGCTATCACAGTCCATTTTCCCTTTGTTGACTTGGTTTGTGGTCCTCTAAAGTCATCGACTTTGCTCTCGAGTTGCGATGGCTGAGTCAAAAAACGCGTCGCTGATTGGCTCTCATGGGCTGCAGCCAACAGTCTCTCTTACTGCCACTACTGCCCCTGTTGGTGCGCTGTTAGTTGGTACACGATGGTACACAAGAGGGAATGCAGCTGCAAAGGCTTGGACACCACGGGGAAGCTGCAGGTCCCTAAAATTCCCAATCAACAACTGTCGACTCAGTTCCCTATCCCCATGTGTACAACATGTATGTGAATATGGCCATCTCCCATGAAACATGAAAGAATCCAGAAGCGTATAGTTTCTCCCAGACCAGCAATCATGCTGCTGCTATGCCCACCCCCAGCTTTATTGAGCATAGTTATAGAGCCTCGTTTGTGGGTCATTTGCTTGCAAAACATGTTTCAACAGAACGCTGACAACTGAGTTTTGACTCTAAAACTTAATGGAACGATCAGCTGATGTTTTAGTTAGACTTCTGGTTATTCACAAATAATTGATCTTATCAAGACCACTTTCTACGAAGAGGCCATTGCTGTCCATGTCTACTACATGATTCTACATGAATACATAGCCGCTGATTAGTCATTGAGAATGGAACCAAAGAACTCCTTGGCTGTTTTTTTATGTTAAAACATTGAAAGGCTCAGATGGTTCCCAAAGCCCGCAAGATGTCCAAGGCTTGCAGATGCCCTACACCAGTTAGGAATTTTTGATGCGGCTTTGCTCCTTGGAAGCAAGAGCCAAGTGGCGAATTCCTGGGTTGAATGTATTCGAATTTGGTGTCTTTTTTTGGGGGGGAATGCTTACTTTCGCTTACTTCTTGATTGCAAGAACACTTCAGGCACTGACATGTTAAAGGACCTGCTTGTTTGCTAGGCCACAGGAGTTCAGTGGTGATATATGATATAGTATATGAAAGAACACATGAAGTGGAATGGTCGAAAGTTGGTAGTGACATGTTTGACCTAGGAGCAAAGGGCATCGCTACTAGGAGCAAGGACGCTACTAGGGGCTCCTGGCCTTAC